AAGGGACGAGGAGGGAGGGGGCGCATTACCCTGATTCCCTCAAACAGGACCCTTTTCTCTAGGACCTGGTAGGGTTTTGTTTCGAGGGAACTGTGGAACTGTGAAAGTTATAAGGAACATGTGCTTGTGGGAGAGGCTAAATTGAGCTTGCGAGTCCGAAGTTCTGAAAATTGGTCCCGTCACGACCACTTGCAAAATAAATACCATAACTAATAGCTATCACATGTAGTTTCCTTCCTCATGAGCTTGCTCGAGCCATTTGTGACGATAAACTCTTTTATATTCTACGAAACCACCATTAAATTGATTGGTTTCAGTGATGGATCGTTCCGGGAAGAGGAGGAGCTGTCCGATGAGGAGGTTGAACCAGAAGTACTACCACATCTGGACGGTCAACGCAACACACTGGAATGGGACGACGACGCGGTCATGGCCACAACAAATACCCGCTCTTATAGGGTATGATCCCTTTCGGTTCCCCGTAAGGTAAATTTACCACCCTCATAGGTCAGCTGATCACCCCGTCCCCCACTTCCTCCGACAGCGTCATACGTGTGTTCTGACTTCATGGTTGTCCGTTTTCTAACCCCGTTCCGGTTATTCGGATCCCCGTAAACGATCATCATACGTCACATACAGAATTCTATCGTGACATCCCTGTACCGCCGTTGAATTCGGATTTGTATTTTTATATGTTGTTTATGTGTTCTCATGTTTATTTCCCATATATGTATTTCCATCTCATGATCTGGTCCGTTCTGTGTTGTGTTTCGCGTACGGCACTTACTTTCTCACATCTCGTTTAATCTTATTGTGTGTTCATGTATATGTACAGCCCTGACTCGCTGAATTGTTGTGTAGGCATGAGACGCGCGCGGTTGCGATGCGGTAAGGTCATTAGCTACAGTTCGTCCTCAAGGGGTACGTTGATTCATTGATCCCCAGCAAGCGTCAAAAATCCTACGCGACTGTTTGGCTGGTGTGGACTATGTTTCGTTTCATCTGCATCTACAGTACATCCCGTTAGAATGTATTTATTAAGGAAAAAGAGTGTGTCTACCCGGTTGCCTCTCTCTCTCCACCTTTTTTCTATTTTCTTCTCTCCCTCGCTCTCTCACGAATCTCTTAACTACCGCATCATCGCCATTGATCTCACCCAATTAGGCGCACAATCGTGTTTTCCGCGACGCCTTCGGTCGATGCGGTGGCTCGAAAGTGTTTCATGACACATCACATATTGACACAGTCTGTACTATTTAGACGTTTTATGGTTTCTAATAAATCTTCCTTCCACTTAGGATCCGTATGTGACATAGGAAAATAAGAAAGTGGGAAAAGAAAAAGAAACAAAGAATGCTTCGACAAGGCTCAAAGCAGTGAACACGTTGCCTGGATCACGGGACGGTTTTGTGATGTCATCAGACGTCATTGGTGGACCAGACCCCGACGTAAGCAAACCAGCCCTTTTGGCGCTTCGGCTGGGACCGTATGCTGAATGTTGGGGAGGGGATGGAGTCCCCGACGGTGGACGGACCACTTCAACTCGGTCCTTAGAACCGCCACAATTTGGTGCTTACCTCAGAACTAAGCCTTAAAGAGAGGACGGGTCCGTCCCCTCTCCAAGGCTTAGTCCTGGGGTGAGCAAACCAGCCCTTCTGGCGGAGCTGCTGGACCAGCTGCACCACTTGCGTCAGTACTCTCCTATCGTACCAACCGAGTTGAAGTAAACCGTCGACCGTTGCGGACCCCACTCAGCATGCGGTACCAGCCG